ATTCCGCAAAGGATTCTTCGTCCCTTTTTTCCACTGCCTTGTAGAACCTTTCGAACAGCTCATACACCGGTGTACCGAGTCCAATTGGGAATATAATCGTTGTTCCCTCTTCCTTATAAAGGTGGTTTACGCGGAAGTCCCAGAACAAATCGATTCTGGCATCTTCCCACATCATTCCCTCATCGAATACCTCGTTTACCTCTCGGTCAAGTTTTGACTGGAGCTGCTTGACCTCTGGGTCCAGTTCCCCAAAGTCCGCAATCTGGTTATCGACCAGGTTTTCCCAGCGATGTAAAGCGTTTCCTCTTGTTAGAATGAAGTTCCGGACGCAGGATAACCACTCCTTATATCGTTGCCAGTGGTACCGTTCAATGTGCTGGTTCCATATCGAAGTCGTCCGACTTATGCTTTTAACATCTCTTTGGACATGACCTTTCATGTCTTCGATAGCCGCATTGCACTTTGGCCATTTCGATAGGTCATCTTGGTAAGCCTCCCGACAGCAGTCCTCACATTTCCATTGAGGTTGCACTCGACACGGATCCTCATTGTATCCGTGATGACAACTGCTAATTCGTTCTTCCAGTGTCATTTTGTCGAGGCAAGCGAACGGGTTGACGGTCTCATCTTCCTTAACGTTCCGCTCTGCTGTACCATGTGGGTTAACGCTCTCATCTTCCTTAACGTTCAGCTCTGCTGTACCATGTGTCGTAGGCTTTTTGCCATAGTCGGATGAGATCTCGATGACCTCTTGTTCCGTTTGGACTTGGTGACCTTTCAGCTGTTTAATCGCTGCATCTCGAATTTCGCTTGTAAATGGCTGTTCATCTTCCGTTATCTTTTTCGGATAGTCTCGTGGCCTTTCAAACTTTTTATTATCCCGAACTTTAGTCATCTTTATTCCCAGTGCCTCTGGTACTGGGATAGACTTTGCTACCTCCATTCCAGGCACGAGAGCTCGTTTCGCTTCTACGGCTGCTTCCTTTTGTATCGCCTTTATCTGGTCCAGCGTTAAGGAAGTTTCATCTTGCGTCGTTCCCTGTGCCTCTGGTACTGGGATAACGACGTTTGCCTGTTGCACCGGTTTAGCTGATTTATCCAATCGGATCGCTATCCCCTTTTGGATAGCCGTCATTTGTTCAATTATCGGCGGTTGAGCAGATGAACCCCCCTTTCGTTGGTTCACCGATCCCAGTGCCTCTAGTACTGGGATAAACTTTTGATCCGATTCGGCTTTTACATCACTTTTTGCAAGTCCGGTGACCTTTCCGGCTTGAAGGTCAATTTCGGTTCATCTTCAACTTCCTCTTCTCCGTGATTATCGATTAATACGAACTTCTTAGCCAAGAAGTCGTATCCGAGCAGGACTTGTACGTCATCGGTTTTTGGACGCACATAGAAGGAGTGTTGACTGGTTCGTTTCCTTAAGGTCACAGGTGCCACACAATAATGCCTTACAACGAAGCCCGATGTGCCGCAGATTCCGTTTATTTTTAGCAGCTTATCTGGTGGCAGCGGTAAGATATGGAGGCCGTTTTTCTCGCAAAAACATCGGCTAATCAGCGACGTTTCGGCTCCAGTGTCCAACATTGCCATGACCTTTATGTCTCCAATTTTGACTTCGTGTGTATATGCCTCGATCCTTTTCGGTAAGTTCCCGTTTTGAACTTTAAGAGTCCGAATCATACATTTAACTGGGATCACTGAAACTGGTCCCGGATCCGTGTTAGAAAGCACTTGCCCGTTCGCTAAAGCGCTACTCTTCTTCAGTATCGAACTCAAATGATCGATCCTATGTGGCACGTCGGTTCGGATAACGTAGAATTCTCTCTACTTCTTTTTCACATCACTGATCACTTTTTCAGTTTCGGTAAGTTGCCCCTTCGCAACTTCCGGGTGACCTTTTGTCACTTCAGTGATGGTTGAATGCAGCATCGCCTCTCTGCGATTATCATCCGGTCTGCTACCGTATGCCTGCATTTTTTCGATGACTTCACTCGTTATTTGATCGGCTCGTTTCAGCTCGGCTTCCTCGCTGTCTTTCAGCGGATCTAGTGACCTTTCATATGTAACCATGTCATATCCCTTTTGGGTCATCCAGTCGATCACTTTTGACGATACTTCGTTATTCGTTTTTGTCGGATCGGTTTGCGAAGCCATTCCGTCGGTGCGGACCGGTGAATTATCATTAGCATCTTTTTGTAATGCTTCCGTTAAGTCCCGTGACCTTTCCGTCGATTTCATCGAAAATCCGCCATTTGGCAACTTTCGAAGTGGAACCTTTTCTCCATAATTCGGCGGTTTCTCAACGGGTGGAGCATTCTGCTGCTTCTGATTAGCGAGTGTCTGCTTGTATTCCAATTCGTTAAAGACTGGGACGGGTTTCTTTGAACCCCGAGCTGGTTTCCCGGTAACCAACTCTTCGAGCCGTTTTCTCTGGAACTGCGTTCGCAGCTGCTGCATATCCCAGTAGTCTTCTTTAGATATCCTCGCTTTCTGAGATGCTTTTGGCGATACCGGTATCCACATGCCGTGGTTCCCGTTTGGTCGATATGTCACCTTTTGCCATTGTTCCTTCCGCTGCAGCGTTTCTGCATCCTCAAGCGAGTCATCGGAGACTTGTTGTGCCGGTTCGCCTTCTTTAAGCTGCACTTTTCGCAGCGTCAGTTCCTTTGCCTGAGCTTTCAGAACGACCTGTTTGTCGTGACCTTTGGCGACTGCATCTGCTCCGTGATCTACCACTTGCGCGGGGTTTGGTGACCTTTCGGTTTCCAGTTTTTTCTTCAAGTTCGCGTTTCGAATGATCTCATTTCGTTGAGCGCGCCGTTCCTTTAACTTTTCGGCACTACAATACGGTGAAGGCTCCTTCCTATTCACCGGGCCACTTGCAGTACCATTCTGCTGTGGCTTCGCAGTACTATTCTGCGACGGTTTAGCAGTAACATTCTGCTTCGCAGTTCCATTCTGCGCAGGTGGCCTTTTGTCCACCTGTGATGGCATCTTATGAGCCATCTCACACGCAGTACCATTCTGCGGTGACATCGCGGTACCATTCCGCGGTAATTTCGCAGTACTGTTCTGCGTTCCTCCCTTATCCGGTGGTTTCGGTTCCGGAGATCAGCAGGCTCACCGGCGCCTACTGATCTTGGTCGTTTCCCTGGTCGACCACATCCGGTTGGTCCGGGACTTGCTCATTTTGCCGTCCCTGGCCAGCGCCGTTCGCGCCGCCACCGGCGTTATTCTGGCCGCCGCCGCCGTCGTTATTGTTGGCGCGTCCGTTGCCGCCGCCATTCCGGTTGCCGTAGCCACCGCCGCGTCCATTGCCGCGTCCTCTTCCGCGGAAGCCACCTCTGCCGCCGCCGTTGTAGCCGCCGCCTTGCCCATTCCCTTGGCCGGCGCCGCCACCATTCTGTTGCTTGAACTAGGCCCATCGGGCAACCAGATCGTAGCCGTTCGCCACAGCTTGTCGCCAGCCGCCTCCATCTCGCAGCCGTCGCCATTCCATTGTGGCGAATAAGTTCGGGTTCCGTTCCGGCGGCATACTAGCGAACATGCAGCCCTGTGCGTTGTGGTTTCCAAACCCACAATTCTGGCACAGCTGCACGCCCTGGGCAACCCATCCGTCGATTTGGGAGAACTTCCATTCAGTTCTCGACCCCTGTTGCTGGTAGTTGCCCTGGTTGCCACAGTTTTGTTGATTGTTGCCTTGGCCTCGGTTGCGGTTGAAGTTCCCGTTACCTTGCCCACCGTTCCAATTACCGTTTCCGTTTCCGTTATAATTGCCGTTGTTGGGCCTTCCTTGCTGCTGCTGTGGCACCCCTACGTTCAGGGGGACCGGCATAGCCGGAGCCACATTTTGCATCATTGGCCTTGCCTGTGCCGATGCTTGGATTGCGGCAACCATCGCATATGATAACGGTTGTCCGGTCTGGCTATCGATAAAGGTTACCTCTTTTTGGACCGGAGTCGGCGGTCTTTGTTGAACCGGAGCCGGTGCGTATTGCCTCGGAGTCGGTTCGACCTGGCCCGAACGGATGGTGATGAAGTCCTGTTGGTTTCGGTTCCCTTGGTTGACCTTATATTTGTCATCGCCGGCTGCCCAATATCGGAAGAAATCCTTTATGTCGGTCGGCGTTTTTAGGTTCCGCTGGACCCGCAGCGCCCTCGCCAACTCGACATCAGTCTTACATCCCTCGATTAGGAATGCGACTGCCTGTTTTTCGTTGATGATCCCCTTTGCCTTATAGATCATCATGGCCTGATAGAATTGGTCCAAGGTCTCTCTTCCGACCTGGAACTTCCTGGCCATAGCCTCTCGTAAGCCGAGGACTTCTTCGTCGCGGTCGCCGAATTGCTCTTTAAATTTGTCCATCCATTCTGTGATGGTATAGACCTTGTGTTCCGCGTCTTTAATATCCCGTTCCCCTTCGAACCAGGCTTTGGCTGGTCCTCTGACGGCGCTCGGGATATCGATCATGATCTGATCGTCGGTGAGCTCAAACGTCCGTTGCGTATCTCTCACCAGCCGAGTCCATCCGTTCACTGCATCGCGGTCACCGTTAAAGGTCGCGAGCATTGCTTTTCGGGCCATGGACTTTATCGACCGGGCCAATTCCCTTGTGCCGTCATCATCGTCGCGACGTGGCGCGCGTTCTTCTGGTTCTTCGTTTCGGTTATCTCTGAAGTATCCACCGCCGTGTTCATGGAGGAGAGGCCGCTCATCTGGGTTCTCATTATCCCTGGCCCTCGGGTTCGGTTGTCGGACAAACGGAGGCCGTTCGTCGCGGCTCGTCTGTTGCTGAGTGTCTGATGGCGGTGGGGTTATCCTTTTCGGTTTCGGTTTTGAGACCACCAGAGCCACCACCCGTTCGCGGCGGCATCTGGAAGTGGAAGCTCCCGCCCCTTTCGCGTGCCTTACTATAAGTGGGCGGGGGCGTCTCAGTTGTGCTTCGTCTCAGATCGGACTTTAGGAGCAATTCCTCTCGATGCTTGTTCGTTATCTAGAGTCCTTTGTTTTCATCCTCCAGTCGTTTAACCCGATCGATGAGTTCCGCTTTCTCCTTTTTCAATTGATCCCTTTCTTGTTTAAACCTATGTGCATAGTTCTCAAGGTTGATCATCCGGCTTTCCTTCTGTTTATTTACGTCTTTTAAAGTCTCCACCTGCTGATCCAATTCGGTGAATGCATCGGCTGCACGTTTCAACTGACCTTTCAGTGTGGTGGCCTCATCTTCGTTGGCCATTGCCGTTGTCGTCATGGCGAGCAGCTCTGTCGACAATCGCAACTCTTCCGTTTTTAAGCTCCTGTTCTCTATTTCCAGGGCTGTGACCTTTGTGTCGATGAGACGGGCTTCTCGTTCCCATCTTGAGCCTTGTGCAGTGACTCTCTTTATGTCATCTTTTAACTTATCGTTTTCTTCGGTGACCTTTTTACTCTCTTCTTTTGTCTCTTCGATCTACTTTTTCAGCCGACCACCTTCGGTAGCTGTGAGATCTGTCAGCTCTTTTGCCGCTTGGATGGCCTCATCAGCTCGTTTCTGATGTGCCTGAAATTCGTTTCGGAGGGTTTCGATGCTTTCATCCCGCAGCTTTAGGTCCTTCCTGAGCTGATGGATCTCGGTTGTTCCGGTTGTTAATCGCTGTGTAAGGTCAGTCAAGTTCTTTGCATATTCATCCCGTTTCGATTCGGCTTCGATGACCTTTTGCTTCAACTCATCACACCGATCCCTCAATTCGGCTAAGTGCCGTGACCTTTCAGCTGTCTCTTCGGACATGCTCTCGTTAAGGTCGCTCATAGCCATTATTCCTTCCATTTCTCTATCGTCAGCGATTTTCTCGGATTCTTCTGCAATTTGCTTTTGACGTTCATATCGGATTTTCCATTCGTCCGCTGAGCTCTCAAGAACGCCTTGGTGTTGTTCCAATTCGTAGATGCGAGCTTCAAGAGATCCTAACCGATTCCGATATTCCTCTTTTTTCTGGAGGACTTGACCTTCCTTTTCCTCCAATGACCTTTCCAATTCTCGGATACGCGTCTTCATGTTAGACGTAGGGCTGTTTGGAGATGGGGATCGAACGTTGACGATCTTCCCGATCTGATTACGTTCAATCAGATGTTCGGGAATATCTTTAAACGGAGTCAGTCCTTGCGCCCGATCGGCTTCCTTCATTGCCGTATGGAATGACATGTGCATTGTCGTGTCGTCATTGGTGAAGTACGTTTCGTTTCCCCGGTTGAAGTTATCACTCCGCATCATTTCCTCGAAACTCATCGGACTCTCGAAGAGATCGTCAAGTGTGATATCTTCATTGAGTGAAAGGTCATCCAAACTGAGTTCGTTCAGTTCCATTTCCGTTTTCTTGTTCGGTTTTGCAGGACCCGCCTCCTTATCCTGCTCCGTTTCGGCGGGACTGACCTCCACATCCTTTTGTGATGTGGGTTCCGTTTCAATCGGTTGACCAGAAGACCTTCCTTCTGTGGTGACCTCCTGTTGGTTCACCTCGCTGCCTCCCGCCGCAGACGCGGGGGCGCGTTTCTGATCGTCGCTAGAACTCTCCTGAGCAGACACTGCTTCGAGTGCCTTTTGGTATGTAGCGTCAGACCCACGTGAATCCTTCTTCACGGGGACTTTAGGTGCTCGAGTGTTCCGTTCATGTGCGACTGGACGTGTGTATGGGTGTAGATCTATTTTGTACAGGTCGGCGCCTTGCTGCGACCCGCGGGAGCTACGGCTCCCCTGACTACTGTTTGATGTTGGTTCGGTTGGTTCTTTATCCATTTTGGTTGGATGACTTTGACACACCTGTTGACTTTGCTCACACACACGTTATAATACGGTTGATCAGATCCCTAAAGGTCACTTTCTGTTTGAAAAATTTCGTTCAAGTCCCTTCTAAAGGTCACTTTCTGGAGAAAAACTTCGAGAGGTTTGCCCTCAAAGGTCACTTTTCCGAGAAAAACTTCGAAGGTAACTTCACAGTTTAAACACTTCGACAATGATTCCTGTCAGTTATTGATGCTGATAATGCTATTGATTGCTCGGTTTCGGATGCGGTTTATCGCATTAGAAAGGTCACTGCCTGATCAATTTAAATGTCAAAGGTCACTTCTGAGCTCAATCAAATCAAACTCGAATCTTAAAGGTCACTTTTTGACTCAAAAGTTTGATCTCGAATCTCAAAGGTCACTTTTTGCACAATTTATTTTGAATGAAATCAGTTCCTTTTTGCTGAAAGTAGGTCAATTCAGTTGAAAAATATTCAATTATATCGTTCACTAGCTTACGATTAAACAGCTAGCTCAATTTAACCGGTTAGGATTTTGACCAATAACAGCTCAGATAACTGACCAATCACGTGCGCCCACTTAAAATTTTGACCAGCCTGACGTCACGGTCAATGACCAGACGTGCGCACCGTGTGCAAAAGTCCTGCCCCTGTCTACACTCAGCTCAGCCTGACCAATGAGAATTGCGCCTTGTTGCGCTTAGCCAGTCAGATGGCAGATAACGGTTTTTTTACCTGTTACCGTCCCGTTTCCACGAGGATGATCCAGATCCGTCCCGCGCTCCGTTGGGATGCTGCCAACCAAGTGGTTGTGACGCTCCTGTATGCTGCCAACCAGATGGTTGTGACGCTCCTGTCCGTTGGCCCTCGACAGCTCTGACACCGTTTTGGTGGAGCTTTAGTCGGGCGGGATTGATGATGCACCTCTTTCGGTGCTGCCTTTCTCCGCAGGCTTCTCGGCTCTTGTGCCCGACAGCCTTGCCCCCGTTTGGGGTTCTCGCTGCCTAGCAGTGGCTGCAACTAGGGCACTCCGTTTGGAGTAACCTTCGCCGCCACCAGCTGCCGTCTGACTTGCACAGCACAGAACGAGTATGAGTAAGTTCTCCGTTTGGAGATCCCCACTCAATACTGTCGCTGATGCTGGGTCCGCGCGATGAGGAGATCCTTCTTGCAGATGAGGAGAGAACCAGTGCCTTACTGGTTTTAACTGGAGCAATATCGCTCCAGATCAGATCAATGGCCGTTCGCCTGATCAATCACAATTAAGGCCGTTCGCCAACAGATAAACAGCTCAGAACCGTCTGTTCACGAGCTCTGCTACCATGAAACCGTGGATTCAGGATGAATCCAGGACAGCAGCCCAGACTGACAGGACTCTGTGGAGTGTATAGCGTAACGTCCTAAGGGATAAATGCGCAACGCACGACATCCAGTTAACGTAATACACTTTTAATCAGCGTTCTCTACACTGTAAATTCACCAACTGCCAAGTGCCTTCGGCGAGCTGCATTCAGCTGCCACTCAACGGCATATTTCCACGTGGCGCGATAGAGCGCAGACAGAAACGGCTCTAAAGCCGAGAACAAAGAAAGCGAGACGCAACACAGACAGAGGAATCCGTACGCGTACCCGGATCTCGGTGTACGCAGTGCAAGCCATGGCTCATATACCAGTTCACTTTGCGGTTCTGCATTATCTACCACGGTAGTTATCTCTCCACGTATCGTTTTTGGCTGGCGTTTCGTAATGGCTGCGTAGGTAGGGGCTTTACCAGCTGGTTGGATGGAAAAATCATCAGACGTTACTTATAAGCCGTTCGTCGTGGACGGGTTCGTTAATTCGGCCTTGCACAGGTTCAGTCGCGGCGCCTCTGTTCTTCGAGGTTTCCAACGTTTTCCCGTTTTGGCAAGTTGTTTAGCTTCCTTAGCAGTAGTCCCAAAATGGTTTGCAGCGATCTCCTCAACCTCGGGGTCGGTACCCTCTACGTCATCTTCGACGGTATGATAATGAACGTTGCATTCTACAAGGTACACTCTTTCACACAAATTCTCCATTGCTTTGTTGAAATCATCGACATTTTCCTGAGATAATACTGGCACAGAGGGAACCAAAAGATTTTCAACTAATGAAGCATTAGATACCACAGGTTTCTCAGATATGGATGAAGAGCTCTGCAGTTGGTCTGTCAGGTTCTTGTTGTGTAAAGATAGACGCCGTACTTCAACTTCCAAGTCACTCAAATACTCCAAGACTTTCCGAAATTCTGGCATGAAGCTTTTCCAAGTCATTGGAGAATCAAAATCGAAACAAAAACATGGCGGCTTCATGATAGTGCAAAATATTCAAAATATTCAAAAATGAACGTTACTATTACTAGTCGAGTGTTCACTGAAATTTGTTTACTGAGTGTAAAACTTCCTTACTGCTTAAACGTATTTGTTTGTTATGAAAAAAACTGGATATTTATTGCAAGGCATCAATAATTTTTTGGTGATTTTAAATGAAAAGAGTCACACAATATCGCCACTGCAGCCATCACACTACGTTGCACTTCATAAACGAATCTCAATCATCAACTTACAATTAGAGCATGGAAACTGTGTCAACAGAATGATTGCTGCATTGTGCGGTTACGGGGAAAAACGGAAGTCTGTAGTCTTCTCGATTCACATTAACGTAAACTGATGCGCTTTTCTTTTTTTACAATACAATTTAACGATGAAAGCAAACTTAAACGATAATCTAACAAACTACATTAACTAATTCTAACGGCTAGTTAATTGTGCAGCATTTTCTAGTAAAACGGTAATAAAAAATCAGTACGATGGCACATGCACTTCCGAAATGACACTTGATGGCATATGTATACATCACATGACCAAACTTTTAATCTGTATACGAGTACAGGTGGGCTTACAGATATAGCCATATTATGTAGAAATGAACAAGACTGTGTAGACTATGTAGAATAATCCAAGATAACCAATTTGCGGCATCGCGTGCGATCGCCGTGCACGCGTCACTGTTCGAGAAAGGTCACCGGAAAAATTATCGGCGTGGTACAATATTGCACCGCTTTAAGCAACTAAAACGGGTAGAAAAAAAACAGTAAATGGGTAGAAATTACCTCGGCTACTGCATTTTACTGCACAAGTAAAAAACATCATTAAATTTTCACAATCAAGGAAACTTAATTAAAATACTATTACTCTTTTTCTAAATTTTGCCGTTCATATGCTGTCTACCACTACTCTATATAATTATTACCGACATAGCAGAAAAAAAGGCGAAAACCCCGCAACGTTCAAATGCAGTATCAGTATGCAGTTCAAATGCAGCACATCTTAACTAATACCTACTTTAGTACTTTAATAATTGTAATGCTACGAGTAGGCGTTGTTTACTTCCCATGGTCACAGCAAACAGGCGAATTCAACCTATTTTTTTCTTGCTTTAGGAATGCTGTTATCAACCCAGTTCTGTGTCGGTTGAGGGGCTATAATTATAAAGTAAACGTCGAATATTGGCCTATTTAACCGATACGTGGCAAATGATGTTTCTCAAGTGACCGACTGGATATCTTTGTAATTAATTACGGTTCAAAAAAGTTTAATTGTGGCCGCCTGTTTTGTGCAGTCGATGCCCAGAGGCCACAAGATTGGGATTTCCGAGCAGCTCAACTGGCACATTTTGCTTATAAGTTACTCTGACTAAGAAAATTTTGCTTTGGCAAACTAAAAGGCTTTCACGGCTTGCTCGTGCAAACGTATGCACACCTTGCGTCAGTTGTGGCACCCTGATGGGAATGCGCGGCGGAAATCCCGGCATACTCGTATCGTTATTTAAGCCTGCTTTTAACATTATTTAGGGTTGTATCTGTACGGAACGTTTTACCAATTAGTCCACAGTATTTAAAAAAATCTATCACCCGGTATTTGCAGAAATTTCTCTGAACACGACACCGCGACCGTTGTTGCAATGTTTACTACGAGCTTGCAGCGATCTTCATTCGAACATAGAGATTTACTGTATTTACACGATATTAAGGGACAGAGTAATCCCCAGGACCGCCCGCACTAGCTGTCGGTTTCTTTGACATCAATGGAGCCCACGCCTAGTGCGGACGGTCCAGGGGATTTCTCTGTCCCTTAATATCGTGGAAACACAGTACATTTGGGCCGCTGTTCTACGATCTTTTGTATTTTATGCTGTTGTGAGTGTGCCTATCTGTACATTATAATGTAGTTGCATACCCGCGAAATGCAACTACATTATGCGGAAATGGAGTGGGTGAAATTTGGGAGGAACAACAAGCAGAAAGGTTTTCCTTCGCCCGGAAGGTCCTTCGCCATTTTCAGCAGGACTAGGGCACTTTCACTACGACCCGGTAAATCACTGGCGAACGGCCCAACGTGCACAGACCTTTTTAATCGATTGAACAAGAATGTATTCGGTGCAGCGCGATGCACTAATTCTGGATCCCATGGAGCAGCGTCGAAGTTCGCCGGAAGAGGGTAACTGTTACAACTGGCTTGGCTCTTGTTACAGCTTTATTGAAGTGCAACAAATTACGGTCCACAAAAAAATTATCGTACAGTGGAGGAATAATCCGTTTTGACATCGGTTTATTCAGAGGCACTCCAGTCTTGCACAGGGGCAGCAGGGTGTCTGAAATGAAGTTCTCCTCAGGATCAGTAAATACTAAATATCCACTGCCATTGCCCGTCCTGTTGAGGCACAGTTCCCTTCAGCCGCCTTCCTGGTGTCGTGCGATTAACACTGTAGAGTGAAGAACTTTGCGACGAAAGAATGCGATAAAATAGCCTTAGCCATAAAATTCCCTATTGATATGACTTGAGTCACTTGACTACTGCGTCCATAGTAGCATTATGACCAGCTCTAGCTACTACATCCACAACGCAGTTGATATTTCTGGAAAGTTGGATTTAGTACACGTAGCAAATCAGATTAATTAGTAAAAAAAGTAAAACAA